AGTGTGAGCATGTGTGTGCATGTGCATGTAACTGTGTGACTTTAAAGTAATGAGACTGATTTCCAAGTGTGGCTCATAAACTGGCTCTGTAGGCAATTTTGAAAAAATATCTGAGTAGTAAGATAAATATTTATAGTTTAGAACTTGTTAGGCAGTTGGATTATAACAAGCCTTCTGTGTGCATGAGTCATTCCTCCATTATTTATTGATTATAAACTTGGCAATGGGGACACGTACTAATTCTGCAATGACCACCAGAGAATAATTTTTTGTATTTTACCTCCAGGGTACATGGAACATGGTCATGACTGCCTCCGTTTAGAGAGCAGTTTGAATGAAGGAGATGGAAGTTTAGTGTGTTTTAAAGTTTCATATTTCTGTACTTAGTTATGCTGTTCACTAAACCAAGAGAGTTGTCCTTGTGACATACGTTTCTGAAATGACTACATATAAATACGTGCAGATGACATAAACACAATGCCACCTAAAAGAAGACTTCATCTATTCAGAGGCGTGTGAATTTGTTAGGTTACGAGCCTGTATGATCTGTTGGGTTAAGAGTCGAACCACATATCCTGATTAGGACATGTACATAATGATGATTAGAAGCTGGGTTTTTGGAAAATAAAATTAGTAGGTTTTATCATTCATTAAGCACTTAATGGATACTTGAGACTTAGAATTTAAATTTTCCTCAGTTAAATGTATAAAAATTTTGATCATTGATCATTTCGTTAATGTCCGATACAGTTCTGAAAGGCAAGGAATCTTCATAACTCCTAGGCTCTAGCTTAGGTTAGCTTCTGAATGCCGTGTTCTCCTAAGGGAATGTTGTCTCCTTTTCAGTTTCCTCTGAAGTATTTTTATGTATCTTTGGTGAATTCTGAAATATGCTAAGACTCGGATGTTGTTTTCTTTCAATTAACAGAATTTATTCAGAGGATCAACAGCTTTATAAATTTTTAAGATTACTTGAGATATGATTAGTGAAATTTTATCTTTCTCCATCTTTGTTTCTGATATTTTTAAATTAATAATCAAAGAAAAATGTTGGACTAAGCTTATTTTGCTTATATATTCTCTCTAGTTCTTTGGAAGGCCTTGTATAAATGAATGAACAAATAAATACCATATGTGATTCTTAATACTACTACTCACATTGTCTGGAAAGTCTAGAAACAGGGACATATTTAATTATTATGCTTTTTCAGATTAATAATTGGCTTAAATTCAGAAATATGTTACCTGCAAAAGAATGTGGGAACCAAAGTAAATATATCAACAATATTTGTTGAAAACATAACTAGCATCTTGATTTTATTTACATTGTACATTTTGGAACTCAAATGCTTAGAGATTAGTTATGATTTTTGGTTCACATCATTCTCTCATCATTTGTCCAGATAAGCCCACTTTTATTTATTTTGTTGATTATTTATTTTTTTAATAATAGAATACCTACAAAGCCACAATCTAACACAAAAGCTAGAACTCTTAACAGCCCACATCAAATCATGTCCCCTACCAGTCCATCTTCCCCTCCCTCCCACGCAAAGGATCCATCACCCAGAATCTTACATTCATTGCTCTTTTTATCTCATTTTTAAACTATTTTTTTCCTTAAAAATACAAATATATATTTAATAATTTTTAAAAATTTCATAAAAGGAATGCCAGAATCTGTATAATCTTTTGGAATCTTTGTTACTTAACATTGTGTTGATAAGATTAATTCATATTGTTACTTGTGGTGATTTTTCATTCATTTTGATTGCTATATAATACTTACTGAGTGAATATACCACAGGTTATTTATTTACCGTCTGTTGCTAGACATTTGGGTTCATTCTGTTTTTTAATATGAAAGTGCTGCCATCAGCATCTTTTTATATATCTTTTCTTGCACGTGCAAGCATTTCTCGAATAAATACCTGGGCATGGAAGTACTGGGGTAGAGAGTATGTAAATGTTCAATTTTAGGAAAAAAAGGCAAGTTTTTCCAAAGTTGTTGCTCTCATCTGTAACATATAAAAGGCTGTGGATCCACACTTGGTATTGTCAAAATTTTAGATATTTGGAATCCATTGGAGGTAAAATAGTATCCTATTAGGATCATAATAACATTTTTAAACACATAGAACATTCTGAGAATAAGATTTCCTTTTGAAGTGATAGAAATGTTCTGGAACTAATGGAGGTGACGGTTGCCTGACACTGAGAATGTGCTAACCATCACTGGACTGAATATCCCTAGAGCCATGTTTCCCAGGCTTGCTTAGCACTTGCTAAAAAAAAAACTAGGGCTCTCCCGCGGGGCGGGAGGTGGGGGGGTGGGGATCCACTGTGGCTCAGGGGTGAGGTGAGGGAAGCTGGATGTTAAGGAACCTCTAGGGTGATTCTTGTGATCAGGCAAGTTACAGAAAAAAAAAATTTGTACACTTTAAAATGGTTAATTTTATGTTAAGTGAATTTTACTGCCATTTAAAAGGAAAACAAAAAACAAAAAAACATAGGCTTTGGATTCAGAGTGGTTGGATTCATCCTTGCTCATTTGACCCCAGACCAACTACATACATGATCTCCAGATTTTGGTTTTAAATCTGCAAAATGGGCACGTAACTAATACTAATCTTCAATGGCAGCCATGAGCACTAAACCCACACCCACCAGGATAAATGTTCAATCAGGTGAGCTGTTAATAAAAAATAATAAATTAATAACTAATAAAAAGTAAAAGCATTCCTTCCTTTCTAGTTTTCTCAGGTATACTAATACATTTTAAAATGTTAGTGGTAAATTGATCAATACAAAGTAATTTATTACAAAACGATATGTGTCTTACTTGGAGCTAATTTTTTTTTTTCTAACTCTTCTCTCACATCACTGCAGGCATGGCCAGGACTGTGATATGCAGTCATTACGGCCACTGTTTTCTCTTCTAATATCCCACCTCCCTGAGCAGAATGCCAGGAGGTGAGATCACATATTTACTATCAGTTTTTCAGTCATTCACTCTTTCTTACTCTGGAAACCTCACCTCTTCTGAAATACCTAAGATTTTTAAAGTATCTAAGAGATTTCCACTGACTACTTAGATTTGTAGAAAGTTTTATTTTATTAAAATATACAGTTCTGCATAGACACATTTATAAACACACAGTTGTTGGATTGCAGAGGTATACAGAGCTGGCCCAAGGAATTAAGTACTTTTAAAATCCATTCAATTAGATTTCTAGATTTTCACATTCCTCTTTTGTAAGACATTAATTTAAATGCAAAGTCATGTTTAGGGTGATTCTCGGGCATCTGAAATGAAGGATTAATGAATGTCCTTTAAATTGGAACACAGCAAGGGTAGGAGAGCAATCTCACTACAGAACTCCCCAGTCAGCAAAAGCAAGGCAAGTGTGATGATGGTTCCTGTTGTTTACTATCATTTATTAAGATACATGGAATTTCCAAGAGGAAAAGAAGAGTGAAAGTATCAGTGAAAACAAGGTGGGAGCACACAGATGTGGTCCTGAAACCTTCCTTGCGCCTCTTCTCACTAACCTCAACAGTCCAGTCCAGAACCAGTGAGTTTAAAAGCCTGGCGTGCATTACCCATGGAATGACAGCTTTCATTCTGATTATAGATGTCTTAAAGCATCATGCAATATTAAGAGGGCTTAGTTGAAATTCTTTATGTATTTCTAACTGCAGCTTACTTGGTCGCTGTGCACCAAGATAGATAACATGTTTTTTAAAATGATGCATGTTGTCTAAGTTGCTCACAAGAAAATCCCTTCATAGTGCGGTGTTTAACTTTCCTTCCTTTACTCCCCTTTAATTCCTCCCTACTTCCAACTGAGTTGAAGTGTTTACATTAAAACAAAACACCCACTGGAACTCTGAAGAAATTGACTCACCTATTTTTTAAGCTGCAGGGTATTTTTTTTAGCGGTATACAGTATGTATTACCATGTAATGAATATTTTACTTTCTTAAGGATCTTGAACTCTGGTGTGCCTTAGAGGGGACTTATACAACTTACTGCTACAAATACTGGCATTTAATCGTAAGAGAAAATGATATTAAAATAGTTTAAGGATAAAATCACACGTAGGGTGGTTGTTCTCAAACAGTAGTAAGGCCATGATCTCATTTATATATAACCTATAAGCTTGAAGCATTAGTTATGAGCCAGTATAATGAGAGGAACCAATACAATGTAAGGAAACCTAACAACATAACCGTTAAGATCTATGGCCGTTATTTTTCATTTAAACCTAGAAATACATTTCCTTTCCTGAGTGAACCAATAAGGTCATTTCAGAGAGAAAGAAATAGAAGCAAAAAATAAACTTGTAAGGCGAGCACTGACGGAAGAATCAGGATTTCCCACTTTAGATACCCAAAAGAGAACCCTAAATTCTTTGACTAGCAATTAGCACGCCTGAACTCTCCTTGACAGCACAGAGGAGCAGAGCCAAGAAGGGACGGGCTCTCAAACTGTGCTGCCTCTGGTGGCGAAGGGAAATGCTTATACTTCTCAAAAGATTTTTTCCCCACCGTCTGACAAAGGCTGGCGCCGTCTACAAAGCGTTGTGGGGCCAACCCCACCGCTCCGTCCCGAGCGCAATGCGCGGGCGTGGGCGGTCAGCAAGTCCACGTCTCCAGCCCTTCCTGCTGGAGTTCACCGAAGTGTTTTGGGATCCGAGGTTCTGAACGTCTCTGAGCGGGGAAAACGACACCCTCCTTCCCAGTGGCGATTTCCGTTTTCTCTTGCTCGAAGCAGGGTGTTTGACCTGCTGGTCGACTGCATCCCTGTGCCCTGGCGCCAGCTATGTTCCTGATCCCAGAATAAATCAGGGCTGCACCGGGCCTGGCAGAACCCTGGACACATTTCCTGTCGCGGCCTAAGGGAAGCCTTTTGCCGCCAGGACCCTGGCGGGGATTCTTGGCAGTTGAGGGGCTGGGCGGGAGTAGAGTGGGGGAGAGGGAGGAAAGCCAGCTGTGGGGGGCGGTGCCCGCGCTCTAGGGACAGCTTCACGCCCTCGGGCGGGACAGAAACAAGCTGAGAGCAGTTGTGGGCGCAGGGCCTCCAAAATGAGGCCGGCGTTCGCCCTGTGCCTCCTGTGGCAGGCGTTCTGGCCCCGGCCGGGCCATGGCGAACACCCCACCGCCGACCGCGCGGGCTGCTCGGCCTCGGGGGCCTGCTACAGCCTGCACCACGCCACCTTCAAGCGGCAGGAGGCCGAAGAGGCCTGCAACCTGCGCGGCGGGGCGCTCAGCACCGTGCGCGGGGGCGCCGAGCTCCGCGCGGTGCTCGCTCTCCTGCGGGCAGGCCCGCGGCCCGGAGAGGGCTTCAAAGACCTTCTATTCTGGGTGGCGCTGGAGCGCAGGCGATCCCACTGCACCCTGGAGAACGAGCCGTTGCGGGGTTTCTCTTGGCTGTCCCCCGACGTCGGCGAGTCAGAAAGCGACACGCTGCAGTGGGTGGAGGAGCCCCAACGCTCCTGCACCGCTCGCAGTTGCGCGGGACTCCAGGCCACCGGGGGAATCGAGCCCGCAGGCTGGAAGGAGATGCGATGCCAGCGGCGCGCCGACGGCTACCTGTGCAAGTACCAGTTTGAGGGCTTGTGCCCCGCTCCGCACCCCGGGGCCGCTTCTAACTTGAGCTACCGCGCGCCCTTTCAACTCTACAGCGCGGCGCTGGACTTCAGTCCCCCCGGGACCAAGGTGAGTGCGCTCTGCCCGGGGCAGCTCTCCATCACAGCCACCTGCACCGCGGACGAGGTCGGCGCGCGCTGGGACAGGATACCCTCCGGGGCCGTGCTCTGTCCCTGTCCCGGGAGATACCTCCGTGCTGGCAGATGCGCGGAGCTCCCTGACTGCCTAGATGACTTGGGAGGCTTTGCTTGTGAATGTGCTGCGGGCTTTGTGCTGGGGAAAGACGGACGCTCTTGTGTAACCAGTGGGGAAGGACAGCCGGCCCCTGGAGGGACCAAGGTGCCCACCTGGCACCCAGCAGCCACTGCAGCCAGCCCCGTGCCGAAGAGAACGTGGTCACCCAGTGTCCAGGAGGAGTCAAGACAGACACCCCGTGCCCCCGGACAAGGCCTTTCAGCAACATCTATTCCCGAGATTCCTGGGTGGGGAGAGCAGAGCACGATATCTACCCTTCAAATGTCCCCTCAAACTGAGTCAAAGGCCGACGTCACCAATTCAGGAAGGGTGATTCCGAAGCCTAATTCCACATCTTCCTCTGACAGTCCCCAGGCTTTGGATTCCTCCTCCACCGTGGTCTTACTACTTGTTAGCATAGCGGTAGTAGTGTTGGTGATACTGACCATGACAGTGCTGGGGCTTTTCAAACTCTGCTTCCACAAGAGCCCTTCCCCTCCGCCAAGAAAGGGGCCTTTGGCCCCACGGGGCATAGAGAGTGATGCTGAGGCTGCTGCTCTGAACTCTAATTCTGTACATTGCACAGACAACGGGGTTAAGGTCAGGGACTGTGGTCTGCAGGACAGAGTCGAGGGAGCCTCACTGACAGGCTCCTCTCTTGGCTCTGGGGACACATAGGGAAACAGGGAACAATGAGCACTTCTGGTGAGCAGAGTTTTTCACTTTCAGTGAAAAGAGAAAAGGAGAAGAGGAACTTATTTGTGCGACTGACATTACCTACAAAAATTTCCCTTCTAAATTCCCTCTACTCCACTGAGGAGCTAAATCTGAACTGGGCACGACTTCCCTGAAGATGGAGAAACTGGAAGTGCCTTAGGGTGGTGGAGGGAGTGGGGCAGAATCCTACCAGGGGGAGATATTTCTTGTGTTTATTCTGAGAGATTTGGAGAGGTGATTGAACTTTTTAAGACACGAGAAGCAAATACATTTTTAATTTTCTTTTTTGCCAAAATAGAAAGGAAATCTGTCTGCATTGTTCAGACTGGGAGTATATTGGTTTGAAATTCCCAGGCCGAAAATAAAGGATTGTTGATAACCCAAACTCAAAATCATTGGTGTCCCAGACGGGTGATTATTCAGGAGGAACAGCTGAGGGGCATGCTGGGAATAGCAGCAAGAGTGCCTCCTGCATTTAGGCTGAGTGGGGAAGTCCTTGCCATGAGTAGATCTTAAAGAACTTTTTCCTGGGTTCTTTTATCCTTTACTTTCAAAGTCATTGCTACTTGTGTGCTCTGCTATAAATCCAAACTGTAGTGTTGCCAGAGTCACTGGCTCTAGAAGCAAATTATAGTTGACCACCAATTCAGGTGTTTACTGTATGTCCTTGCTCAAGGAAACAAGTGATTTGTGTTTTCCTCTTTCAGTGTTTGTGCTCTTTAGTGTAATGACCTTCCCAACCAAATAGCCCTCTCTTAAACATCTGGATGCTGATCCTCACTTCCAATTATGGTGATGTTAATTTTCAATTAAAACGTTAATGCTAAGTATTGATTTGAAATCTTCTGGGTACATTAAAGCAAAAATAAGCTGGATTTCCTCCAGAGTTGCTAGGTTCTTGTGCACTGTTTAATGCATAGGAAAATTTGAATTCCAAACCGTTTCCTTCCCCTCCTTAATAAAAGTGTGTGTAGTGAATATACTTGCCCATCCTAGAATGATTTCAGTATAGCACAGTTTTCCGTGGGCAAAGGCATTAGGTAAACAGCTTTCCATAAGAATTAATAGTGAAAGAAATAAGTGATAAATATAAATATCTGTCATTGTGATTTGGGGTATTAGAAAATTATCTAAATAAAGCATTCCTCTAAAAAACAAGGAAGATCTAATAATAATCACTTTGTAGTAGGACTGAAACCCCCTAGAAAATGCCCTGCTTCTATTAATATGCTAACACTTTAAAACTAAATGTGTGGGGGTTGGTGCATGGATAGAGAGAGACAAACAAGCTGAGTAACCAGGAAGATTGGAAACAGGAAGAAGTTTCCACTATGATTTTTATAAAATCATTTTGATGTTCTTGAGTATGTAATGTATAAAATACATTATACATATAATATATAGGGTACTGTAACATTAAAGGAATAAAGCAATAGGTAATTCACTTCATATAGTAAATATGTCTAAATAGATACATGTAAATAAAGTCATAAATGAATTTGAATTAACAACATTTGGAGGAATTTTAAATAAAGTCATTTCACAAAGAAAACTAAAATCAGGTAGGTAAATGGCTTATCCAATGTCCCCAAATTGTCAGAGATTGTCTCAGTTCACCTCAGTTGTGGTGTTTTAGCTTTGCTCTTTACCACGTGACCTCTCCGTAGAGAAGGTAACTATTTGAATAGAATATATGGTACTTTTCTTTATAGACTGAAAAATAGCCTTACCTGTAACTGAATGGAACTGTAAATTATCTGTGTCTAGAAGTATCTATATCTATCTTTGTGTATGTGTGTACACACCCTTTGTCTTGAGGTAGAGCGTGCCTGTATCATTGCTACAGTGCAATAGAGTGTGCATCGTTAACTTGCTATGCAACATGCCACTGGTGGCATTACAAATCTCAGGGTCCAAATGCCCTAGTGAAGAATACATAGATGTCAGCTCAGTTACTTAACTATTATTTCCTATTATTTCCCCAGGTAACTTGATCAGGAGAGAATTATAGAAATAAGTTTTAAATATGTATCAAATATGTTTTCTTATTTGATTTCCTGACAGGTAGCAATTGCAGACTAAGCTTCATATAATTTCCTTTGATTTCTGGCTGTGATGTTTTCCATACAATTTTGAACCCATGGCAGAATCAGGCCAGCCAACGTGATCTCTTAAGAGCTAGCTAAGGTTAAGGTCAGAGTTCTTCCTCCATACTCCTGTACTGTCACATCTTCACTATTTCTACAACCTCTTCAAGATGCATTCCTGTCTTAAAATCCTCTGCTCCTGCACTCTTCTCATAGCTGCGTCTTCAGCCATTTCCTTAAAAGGAAAACCTGGAACCTAGTTTCCATTCTTTCTCTCCATCCTAGGTCCTGCCATCACTTTCCACCATCTCCAGGTCCTCATGTATGACTCTTCCACTGCCTGTACATTTCAGTTCCTTGACTTCCCAACTCCTAATGATCTCCACTTCGTTTCAGCCTCCACTCCAACAGCCATACCTTAGTTAGCCTTTCAGTTGATTCTAAAATTGCTCTGCATCTAAAATCACAAATTCAGACATTTGTGTGATGTACACATGTGTTCAGATCTATACTTCAGTGAATTTTTGCTACCAATTAGAAGTAAATCATTATTGTCTGAACTCTGAGATTGCTTCTTTCTCACAATAATAAGCCTTGCTGTGAATAATAGCATGACGTGGTTATCATTTTCTTTTCTCTTTTTTTTTTGAAAGAATTTCATATGTGCAGAAGTTTGCAAGTTCAGTAAAGATAACTTTTTTCATGAATTATTTAAGAGTGATGCCCTGCTACCCCTAAATACTTCAGCGATTACCTCTGTTATTTAATTTGTTGATACAGTTATTCATCATATTATTTTTCATTTCCATAAGGTTGTTAGTCATGTCCTGTTCTTTCATTTATAATTTTAGTAACTTGAGTATCTCATCTTTTGGGGATGGGGTAAGTCTAACTAAAGGTCTGCCGATTTAGTTGAACTTTTCAAAGAACTAACTTTTGGATTCATTTACTTTTCTCCTGTTGTATTTCTATTCTCTAATTTATTTCTAATTTCTGTTTTTATCCTTGTTTTGCATTTGCTGTGCTCTAATTTTTCTAATTTTTTAGAGTAGAAAGTTGAATTATTGACTTGGAATCTTTCTTAATTTAAGTGTTTACAGCTATAAATTTTCCTCTTAGCACTGCTTTAGTGACATTCAATAATGGGGCATGTTGTGTTTTCATTGTATTCGTCTCAAAGTATTTTCTAATATCCCTTGTGATTTTTTTTCTTTAATATATTGGTTATTTAGGAGTGTGTTGCTTAATTTCCACATATTTGCAAACTTCCTTAAATTCCTTCTGTTTTTAATTTTTAATTTTACTTCATTTTGGTTATAAAGCCTACTTTGTATGGTTTCAACCCTTTTGCATTTATTGGACTTTGCTTCATGTTCTGTCCTAGAGCCTAGCATAAGGTCTGTCCTGGAAAATATTCCACAGGTGCTTGAGAAGACTGTCTGCTGTGCTGTTGTTGGGTAGTGTGTACTGTGAAAGTCTGTTAGAACTAGTTTGTTTATAGTATTCTTGAACTATTTTATTTTCAGTTTACTCTTTTTCTTAAATGTTTTAGACGTTGTTGAAAAGGACTATTGAAGTCTTTATTTTTTATTATTGAATTATCTATTTCTACCTTCAGTTATGCCAGTATTTTAAAGTGTATTTTAGAGCTCTCTTGTTAAGTGTGTATGTGTTTATATCTCCTGATGTGCAGACTCATTTATCATTATAAAATGTCCCTTTTTATCTCTAGTAACTTTTTTTTGTTTTGAAGTCTATTTTGCATAATGTTAGTATAAAAATTTCAGCTGTCTTATGGTTGCTTTTGCTTGGTCTATCTTTTTACATCCTTTAGCTCTCAACCATTTATACCTTCAAATCTAAAATGTTTCTTGTAGGCAGTATATGTTTGGACTATTTACTTTATTCTCCAATCTATACCTTTTGAATGGATGTTAAATACATTTATGATTAATGTAATTACTGACAAGGGAGGATTTACATCTACCATTTTCTATTTGATTTCTACTCTATTTTCTATTCTATATCTTTTCTGTTCCTCTATTCCTCCATTACTTTTTTCTTTTGTATTAAATAAATATTTTATAGAGTACCGTATTAGTTGTCTTGTCAATTATTTTACCTTTGTAAAGTTGTTTTCTAAGTGACTGCCATGGGGATTACAATTAATATTTTAATTTAAAGACTGTATACTAGGATAAATACCTACTAACTTCAGTAGTATACTACAATTTTGCTCCAACATAATTACATGCTTTTTTTAGGGATGGGGTCAGTCTAACGGAAAGTGTGCTATACCTCCCTCCTTCTTTGTGCTGTTACTGACATCTTTGCACAATATAAACTCATCATTGTGGTTTATAACTATTGCTTTATTATGCAGTTATCTTTTAAATCTGATAGGAGAATTTAAAAATTACAGACAAAAAATGTGTTTATACTGTCTTTTATGTTTACCTATGTAGTTACTTTGCCAGTGCTCTTTATATCGTTGTGCGGTTTTGTTACTGGCTGGTGTCTTTAAATGTCATCCTGAAGGACTCTCTTCAGTATTTTTTGTAGGACATGCCTGCTATTGACAGTTCTCTCGATTTTTGCTTAGTTGGGAATGCCTTAACTTCTTCTTCATTTTGAAGGATAGTTTTACTAGATACAGAATTTTTGATTAGTAGTCTTTTTGTTTTAACATTTTGCCTAAGTCATCCTACTGCCTTCTGGGCTTCATAGTTTCTGATAGAAGTCAGTTAATTTTTTTGAGTATCTCTTGTACGTTTTGAGTAGCTTTTCTCTTCCTGGTTTTTAAGTTCCTCTCCTGTGACTGCTTTCCTTTTTCTTTGCTCATACATTTTTGTTGAAGACTGGATGTGTTAAATAATGTAATGTGGCAGTTCTGAAAATCCGTCCCCTAATAGCCACACCATAGTGTTTTGTTGTTGCTGCTGTTTGTTTAGTTATTTGCCTTGATGACCCTGAAAAGTCTGTATTCCCTGTCAGGTGTGACCACTGAACGAACTCTAACTCTGCTCAGTTAGCTTACTGGTCAGGTAGTGATGAAACAGAGATTTCTTTAAATGACTGGACCAGTAAATCTCTCACCTTTGTGGAAAGGCTCTGTGTATGTGCTGGAGCAGGCCTTCAATGCTGGATTTACAGTTCTGCCTTAGGCTCCACTTCTTGCTTTTCCAGGAACTCACCATCACCCAGAGTTAAAGAAATGTGGGCCTTTCAGATCTTTTCTGGGCAAGTGTGCAGCCTTACACATGCAGCTGCCTTCCTAGATTCCCAGGAATATGCTGAGTTCACAAAGCCCCACGTGGACATCTTTTTCTTCAAATCTTCCTTTCTGTAGTTTTTATTCAGTTTTGATTTGCTATACTGGCATCACCACCTGGGTTAGTTCCC